TGAATTCACCCATCTCTGAGAATCAGTTATTGTCTATAAAATTCATTATATCTTTTAGAAAACTGTTTTCCATTTCTACACACAGAAGTTTGTAAACTGTTCTTGAATGGACAAAAAGGTAAGCAAGACACAGAGTTCACGAAATATCCAAATTTAATTACAGTCAGAGGTCTCAGGTCTCCACACATATTTACAGGTAATAATCACGCTGGAAGGTGATAGTAGCAATTCAATGAAGGAGATATTCTAGCATAATAAATGTAAATATTTATTTAATATGTAAAAGACATCATACCGAGTGGTGGTGGTGAAGAAGCTAAATACAATTGGAAGAAAGTGAAAGTAATATTCATAAAAGTCTAATTTACAGAACAAACAGGGCACATTATCCAAGTGAAATATTTCACAAAGCTTTCCTGAAAAATCCCAGGCTGTGAATTTGGAGAAACAGAAACAAAATGCAAAATTAAAAAAAAAAAAAAAAACATATTCCCAAACCAAAAAAACTTAGACAGGCATCAGCTTGGCATTCTACAAAACGGTCACCGGATGGCAGCACAGAATAACAACAACTTTGATTTAGCTGCTAATCCGGAGATGCCCGACACAAAGGGCCCTAAACATATTCATTACCGTCCTAAGAATCCGTTAGCTTAAGCTCTGGCTACTGCACAGCCATTAACTCTAAACATCAGAGCTGTAGCCTGTGCCCACATCTCACATGATTTCTATTTAGGTAATGAACAGTGACAAACCAAAAGTCAGAGAAAAAAAAAAACTAACAGGAAAGAACCTCATAGCTTTTACTCTTTTTCATCTGAGAAGGGCACAGTGTATTACTGACAAAGGAAGGCAATTCCAAGTAACAACTGCTAATACACACAGAGACACTTCATTTCTTTTATACTTATCTTTGGTCCATATTTGACCTCAAGTATTTCTTTCCATGCTCCTTTGAAGAGGAAAGCATATGAATATTCTATATATGATAAGGCATACTGGGCCACAGTGCAGTCTTCCGTGGGGAAGTTATGGTAACAAAAGGAGAAACAAGCCCGGGGTACTGAAATTTCATAAACAGGTAGCCAGATGCATCTGTAATTCAAGCAATGGAACATAACTTTTTACCAGGGCCTCAGAGTCTCAAAAAGGCCTGGGCTACTTACAGTTTTGGGGACAGAATTCCCTAAATGAAGAAATCCTTGAGTTTCTTCAGGAAAGCTAAGACACATTTTCAATGTTCACCATTAAAAATTAAAGTTAAATGCACAATATATTCTGCTTTCAAGCCTGTCATTATGTCACTGGGGAAATGTGCCTAACCTCATTTCAAAATAAGGCTTATTTACGGCCTCTGATGATTGTAAGACAGAGCCAATGAGTTCTTCATTTCAAACTCCCTGTTCATATTTAGAGATAGGTCAAACTTTTCCTCAAGTAAAAATAAAATATGTAAGTGAGACAAAGAAATTGGGAGACAGGGAAGGAACGGAGGGAAGAAGGAAAACAGGAATGAATACAAAGTACAGATGACATAGAATGGATTCTTAAGTAGAAAACAATATACAAATAAATATGCATTAATTGAGAAAGGCTTTGCTATAGTTGGTGGCATGAAATAAAATGGCAAATTTTGCTTGTTGGCTTCATAGAGATTAACGCAAGAGAGAGAAAACAAACATGTTTGAAACAGGAAAATAGCTAAATTGCATGATATCAAAATATATAAATAATACTGTAGAGAAAGGACTGAATAATACAGGTGCAGTAAGAGTAATAATGCTGTACTATATAATTATTTCTGCTAAAGCATTTAGTGTGTTAGACAGGATAAGCATCTGATAATATTGCTTGTTATCTCATTAAAATTTATAAAAATGATATAAAAATCCTTGACAAATGGGAAAGGCATTAAAAAGAAATTTTACGTAAGAAATAAAAATTATAGTAACTGTAGTATATTATTTAACAGTTACTAAATTATCAATGGGATGAAAATTACACAATTTTTCAAGGTTATGACTACATTGGCCATTTTTTTCTCTACTGATAAGAACATTTAGATTTCTTGAGTAAGTCACATAGTAATACATAGTAAAATTCGTTAAAAATGGTCATGTAATTTGATCAAGTAATCCAAGATTAGCATCTACCTTTAGAAAATATAAAAGAAAACTGACAATAGGAAGCTTGCTCAATTACAAGTCTTTTAACATGAAATTAGACTCACTTTAAAAATCAAATACTAAAAGGAAATTGTGGATGATTTGGTATAGTACAGCCTGTCAACAAGGTGATATGTAATGTTATTAAACATGGTAATTATTTATATAATATTCAATTTATAAAATATTTATGATAAAAATATAAAACCTACATACTTAGGAAATTTACAATATCTAGAATTGAGAGACAAAGCATTACTATCTCAAATATATTATAACTTTGCTCAAATTATTATCTTAAAAAAGAAACTCCAGAGGAAAGAGTTAAAATGTATGAATTGTCAATTCGCAGAATAAAAAACGATGCTCAGCTGTAATGCAATCAGTGGAATTCAAACCAAAGCAACATTGAGGTTACTTCGTATGGTCATCAATTTGGCAAAATTCAGAGCATTGGATAATGAATGCGGGGGATGCTGATGTGATTATGGGGAAATGGGATCCCTTCATCATTGCCGAGTGAACTGGTGTGAATTAGAGCACTCATTCAGGAGAGTGTCTGGGAACAGCACTCAGTGGACTCATGAATGCGTGTAACTTATCACTAACTAGTTCTGCATTCCTGCATTTATCCCCTGAGAGAATGCTAACAAGTTCAAGGGAGACAGATGTGTCTGATTACAGTGTTCCTTGGGATGAACGGCACTGGGGCAATGTCGGTCTTTTTCTGGGAGTTTGGACAAATAGAAAAATGGGAAATGATGGGTACTAACAATGAATAGTTGAAGAAAAGAAACATCAATAGGTTTAGAGGACAAAATACAATGTAAGAGCTAGCAATGTAGAGCAGCAGGCTAATCCACCTCTTCTCACACCAACATCCCATTCTTGAGCGCGTATTTAGTAGAATATTTACATGGACAGTAGATTTAATGAGTACATCAAATACATTAGAAAGGAGGTCTATGGTCAATTTAAGTAAAAGTGGACATTGGAAATAAAACAAATCTGAGAAACGCCTTGCTCATAATGATAACACAAAGTCACAAAGACAGAGATTAACTAAATCAATCCTATACCTGAAGTAAGGAAAAAACAAAAGAAGCAAAACTAAACCTCATTTAGCTTGAAGTGGAAAACGTTGAAAAAACACATAATGTTATACAAGCTGATTAAAAGAACAATGAAATAGAGCACAATTGTTTACATGATCGTCAACTGTAACAGAAATTATATGCAAACTGATTAAAGTAACAGAGAATAAAACAAATACACAATGGTATTTGTTCTGATTGAAACTACCTAAAATGCCTTCATGATTCATGTTGAACTGACTGGATGAAGAGCCCTACTCCCTTCCAAGATTCCTTCTGACACTGCTTCTAGGAAAAAATATTCCTGGGTAATGGACATGGATGTTTCATGAAACCACCATAACAGAGCAGCATCTTGTTCTTGTTGGAACTGCTGACATGGCTCCGGGGGAAGACTGACCACAGTGGTCACTTTGTCTCCTAAGCCCCAGTGAAGGGTTGATGTGACTAAAATAGAGAAAACCTTTGGGACTTTTTCTTTAAGAGCCAGTCAGGTAACAAAGGATCTTGACTTATTCCTGTTGAAGAGAGAGACTGCAACACCTGCCTTAATCATCTAATAACATTAGCACAGGGCCCAGTAAAGGACGGTGCTCAGCCTAGGCTAGTCAAGCTCAGACTACCCCTGTTGCCAATTGATTCACATAGCCAGTTCTTCCCTGGGGCAGGGACTAGCACAGTCTCTGCATTTGATCTTCTTTCCTGTGGATCTCTCCTCTGGACCCTTCAACAGGGTGGAGGGGCTTTGGCAGAGTTCAGTTCATGAGAAAATTTGAGGTCTTGTTTGCTCTCCCAGAAAATTGAACAGAAAGCAGAGCTTGTTAAAAATTAAAATAGCCATGGTAAGTAAAGAGATGATGGATGTTCATTCCTCACATTTTACTTCATTCAAATAAATACATAATCCATTATAGACAGTGACAAAAATGCATTTGGTTCTCTTGTATTTTTCAGTGACATTCCACTAATTAATTTTATTACACAATTAACAAGTGTCTCATTGCATAGCTATTTAGTACAACTCTATGTGGCTGAACTGTTGATAACACATTTGGGGGTAAAGGCTTTGTCTCTCAATTTGGGCATTTTCCATATACCTTTATAACTTTCATATCAACTATCACAAAACTAAGCAGATTAATAGGACTGATAGGAGAAACAGAAAAACGGAGATAATGGAATCACCCTAGCATACCAGAAAATTAGCACTTTTTTCATTTCTCAACCTTGTTATTAATTTTATTTTTTCTTATTTTTTTGTTGTTGTCAAGGGAATTCCTGTTCCATTTTAAAATCTTTCACCTTCCCACGCTCATGACTATATCCTTTAATTTTTCTAAAACAATTTCTATTTTGAACTACAAAAGATCAAGTGTTCTGCCCTTCAAAATATTAGCTGCCTAATGTAAAACAGGAGATTTGTACATCTTGCAAATGAGTCCATTAGTCTTGTAATCTTTGAACCTCCAATCCAAGTCTGTGAATTTATTTTTTATAAGACTTCAAGTCTTTAGAGAAGAAGCATTTCATTTACATGTTCTGTGCAACAGCATAAAATGTAATGAATTTCTTTGAAAATGATAATTACCTTAGATACAATGTTGGTCACACTAATAGAAGAGAAGGCTTTTCTTGTTTGATAGCATTGGGCACTGATTCCCCAAAAAACAGTACCAGGAGAAACTGAGGATATGAGGAACTGGTACTGTTACACAAAAGTGACTTAAACAGCTCTTCTTACCTTAATTTCTTCCCTCCATCTGCGATTTTAGCTTTTTGAAGATAACCTTCCTTCTCAACCATCTGCCAAAAAAAAGAATGTGCATGTTAAAACTGTGACAAACTCCTATGTGTTAGTCTAAATGAACGTGTGCTTTTAAAGAAACATTGTGGTGGTTAAAGTGCCTAGTCATGGAACTCCATTAAATGGTGCTTGTATACTTGTTGGAAGGCCTGAAAGATCACTACCATCACAAGTTCATATCCAAAGAAAAATCTGAACTATCTATTACACAGTGCTACATCTTCTTTTGCTTTTCAGCCTGGGCACTGAAATCACATAGTAAAAACCTGGATTCAAAATGGTAAAAAGAAGAAACATTCAATGGCTTCCTTAACTGTCATTCCTGGAAAAGTCCTAACGTCTTCCAATGTTCCCGCTCAGGCTAGGGAAAAGGAAGAATTCAATGGAAGCAGATATGGCTACTTGAAGCGTGGAAGGGCATTTAGAACAGCAGCATTGCATGTGCTTGTGTCACACTGTAATGCTGGTCTCCCACTTCCTCCTTGATGTGGCTGCTTCCTTTTCCTGCAGGTGTGTGTGGGCTCTCACTGTTAAGACACCCGTATGCATGTGTGTGTGTGTGTGTGTGTGTGTGTGTGTGTGTGTGTACGAGAGCACTTTAATAGTCTACAAACTGATGTGGTTTTATTGTCATAGTACTTACAATAACATTACAGGAAGAGCACAATGCTGAATAATTTTATAGTAAAAGAAGAGATAACAAAGCAAAATAACCCCCCTGCATAGTGAAACTTTCATGCACTATATGAGGACTTCCTACATTTGAACGAGAGTTTATATTTTTTACTCCATTTTCTTTCCAACCAAACTTATTTCACATACCAGCTGGGAAACGGGCACTGATTGATTCTTGGCACACAGGAGAGTACAGAAAAGAAAGTGGCTCCTGACTGACATGGGTTTTAGACACGTCCATCAGGCACAAACCCTCTGCAAGGTGCCAGTAACCACCACAAGCTTGCCTTCCAGAAGCACAAGGCGTAGTCTCTCCCCGGCTGTGAAGGGTTCCCTTCACTCTCTCCAGGGCTAACCCTGCTGCTCTGGTGCATGTGTGACCCCTGCCTGTGGAGTCCAGGCAGTGAGGCTGCCTGCAGGTGACCAGAACTCCCTGAGCACTGCTCGGCCACCCAGGACACCACAGAGGCTGGGGTGCAGGAGGTCTTTGGGCTGTAGCCACTGAGAACGAAAAGGACTGGTGAGCCTGGGTTAGCCAGGAACAAACCGTTCTTCCCCAGAACATACACACACAGAACTGGTTAGCCTGGGTGAGCGAGGAACCAATCATTTTCAGAACACACACACACACACACACACACACGAGAGGAGAGGAGGGGAAGGGGGGCAGACTGGCTTTGCGTCTTCGGGTAGGCCCTCCCCCCATCCCCCTCCTTTCTCTGAAATCTAGGAGTTACCCAGGATACTAATTTAGGGCTAGTTGCTCTAATTTTCTAAAAAGCAAAAACAAAAAGCAAAACTTGCACATTCTGCTCTATTGGCCCTTTCCTTTTCTTCTTAGGTTCTCATAAACGCCATCCCATTACGGTTCTGTCAGGACAGCAATTTCTAGAATGGACAAAACTCTTCATGGCTTCCGTGAAAAGCCCAGATGACTGGGAGAGAACCTCAAATTTCTTCCAGGAAATTAACCAGAGCAGGCCCCCAATTAGAGTTCTAGGATTCCTGGCATTCCCTCTATGGTTCCTTCTAGACAAAGCAAAACGCCATATTCCCGCATTTTCATCAGGGACCCTTATAGCATGTGATTTAAAAAAAAAAAATCACTTTTTTTAGACTAATTACCCGATTGGCACTCCTACTCCCGCCGGTGATTCCAACTGTTTTCTTCACTTGGCTTGCCTCGAGAGAGCCCAGGTATGTCAGCAAGGCTGACACCCCATAAGACACAGGGGCCCCGCTTTGCCAAAGATGAGCTGGATGATACAGAAGAACAGGGGGACCCAGGCGCAGGATTCAGCTCCCCAGTCCCCCGTGTCCCTACGTGGAGTTTCAGAAGCCTTGGCCCCGTCCGAGAAAACAAGTGAGGAAGGCTCACCTTCCGCCTGAGCCGGCATCTGACCAGAGGGTTCCTTCAAAATGGAAACCCAGCCCTCGGTGGGGTGGAGTGTGTGCCGCTCACAGGCTGCGGTTTCCCTGAGAGTGACAACACGGGCTGGGAGGGGAGCTGCCCAGCACACAGGCCTGTCCCCCAGGCTGCTGGTGACACAGGCCCCAGGCGGCCTGTCAGTGGAGCCGGCCCGCTGCAGCGCCCGCCACACAGGTGCTCCGCGCCGGACATACACCTGCTCGGCCACACAGGTGCCTCCACTGCCTGGGCAGAAGGTGACAGGACACAGAGAAGCCGCCAGCGGCCAGGAAGACGGGCAGGCTGGCTGTGTGAGGCCGCCATGCCTGCTCCAAGGCCAGACAGCGCCCCTCATCGGCCGCCCAGGGCAAGAGGCAGCCAGTCCGCTTCCTATTGGAAATGCCCCTGGCGTCAGGAATGCGACTCACAGGTTTCTTAAAGGAGACTCGACAAATTTCCTGTGATAAGCATACTATGCAAATTGATTTGTTGACACCCAACAATATCTACAACAGAGGTTTTAATTTCGTAGCGCCTTATTTCAACCCTCTTTTGGCTGCTCCAGAGGTTCCATCTCAAGTCTTTAGATCCTTTTCATCTTTTCTCTCAGTGAATTTCCAGCACCCGTTCAATCACACTATATGCTGAAAGTTTGAATTTATCTGCGTTAGAGCTGAGGTCCATCGTCTATGAGGTCATTCTCTGATAATAATCCTCCACTTCTATCATGCCTTCATTGAAAAAACATCAGAATAAATTGTAAGTCTACTTTAAAATTCAGTTTTTTCTGCCTTTGTTAGAAAGTCTTTCCAGGATTCTTCTGGAATTTATTTCAGAAAACCCTTACCTCAATCTCAATGTTCAAGCTACCATTACCACTACAGTAGAATTTATCAGATCATATTGCAATTATCTGCTTACTTAACTGGACCTGCACCTGTCAAGCAAAGGACCATATGTTCCACACCTGGATTCCTGACTTAGAGTGGTTAGAGACACCAGTAACACAGGTGGTCTCCAAGAACGAATGAATTAAATCTTCATAGAAAACTAGGTAAGCTAAAAAGCAACTCATCTTCAGTATGAACAGGTGAAAGAGATACTTGGTAACCAGTCTTTTTAACAGCTCACCACATGCACCACTAACAGTTAAAGAGCCACTGGTTTATAAGACATACTATGATTTAGGTGAGAGTGTCTATGATTTGTTCATTCCCAACATGGAGAACAATACTGAACTGGCAGAATATATTTTATGAGCACAGTTTCGACTGAGTAAATAATGAAGGTAATGATGATGATTTATGACAACACTAGTGAAATATTTGTCACACATCCACCGTTTCAACAGCTCCCCACAAGCCTGTGACTAAAGAAGCTTTTGTGGATACCTTTTAGAAACTCTTCTTACATTTGAACACAAATAGTCACCTGAATTTTGTTTTAACCTTTCAGTTAAAACTGCTTTTTTGCTTTTTGGTGCCAGAGAATTTTATTAGTGTATCCTGAAAAACTGTATAATAAGTTCAGTGTTTAACTCTAAGTATTATTGATTTCCACAAATGTTAGGGGGAAAATGTTTTTTTTTTCCCAATAGCAATTAGCATCCCAGTAGAGGCCCCTTAATTTAGAAATGTACATTGAGAAATTTTGTTGGGCAACCATAGGCAAAATTTAAACTTTCTTCTAATGAAAATAAAACAGTTAACCAAAATTCTGCATGTATCTTTTTTTATAAAGCCACAAACTTGTCAACCCAGTATAAAACTGATGGATATGTTCTAAACTATGAGGGTTGCCTGTTTTTTTTTCCCCAGAAAGGATTATTCACTAAAAGATCCCTGGGTGGACACTTTGATACCCACAGAGATGCATCATTGATTACTCTTTCTCTGAAAGGAGAAAGGAAATACAAAGTACAAGGCTAATCCTCTTATAGAGAGACATCCAAATAAACAGAATATACAGTATAAAATTCTTTCCCCTTGAACACATAAGTAATGTTCTCCCAGATAGCGGTGGGCATTTCCAAGGACACCTCAGGCTGGAGTCAAGTTTGGATTCAACAGATGTGATCTCCTTGCTTTCAATGGCTGAGTCTGTTCCTGTGGTCTTGAATCAATGCAACAGACTCCCCAGGAATGACCATGCAGAATTCCTAGAAATCATTACCACAAACCAACAGCTCTGGTTTTTACTAGTGCCTACTATAGTGATTGCAACTATTTATATTTTCTCATTACTACAGCTGTGTGCCTGCACATTTCTACCTATTGTTATGTTCATGGCCTATTATGTGTTTATTCTCACTTCTGGGACCATCTCCATGATCTCTTTATGTCCATTCACTTATTCTTCTTACCAATTTTCAATCAAGAACACTCCAAAATGCTCAGTGCACAGCTCACAAGGAAACTTCAAAGACTAATAGAAGAATCTTAACCTGATTAAGACTATGAGCTCACATCCAAGATATTCCTGTTTATCGTTTGTGCAGGCTGGATATACTCCTTTGGTTATTCTGAGAGCCTCAGGATGACCTGAAATAAGTCTTAGGGTGAATAGAAGATCATTATGTATTTCATATATGGATTTACATATATTAACTTATTAATAACTCAAACTGGTCATCCATGTGTCAAGCCCATGATCTGAAGAATCAATCATCTGTATGTTACAATTGATTACATGGACTACATATGATCAAAATGGTTTTGTTATCAGAAACTTTGAAAATTATGTATAAAATTTTGTCAAACTTTAGTATTGTTTTAAGGCCAAATTGTGATTCTTTAAAGTGATAGCTCTCTTTGAATTATGCGATCTTTCAGAAATGTCAATAATCATCTAGCTACTATGTCTTATTTCCCGAGTTTTTTATTTGATGTCCCCTGAAAGCACTACTTAACATTAAAT